TGACGATGTTATACACGAATTGTTCTGCCATCCACACGAAAACGATGTTTCCGAACGCCTTCTGAATTTGAGCGTGGACATCTATCACTGTTGTACAGTACTCGGGACATTTCACTAGTTATTGTTTCCATCCTGGCATTCGAAATCGCTCACGACTCCTGTTAAATATTTCCGCTCCGTGGACAGGTATCGGCGAAACCCTTCGACCGCACTTAGATAATAGATGACGCAGCATTCTGAAACGAAGTGAACAAAGGCAACGACAGCCGCATCGATAAAAATAACCAGCTTCATACCGTAATCGTCTAGACCGACGTCACCGGGCGCAACGCAGAACAGGTAATCCGTAAAAATTACTCTGCTCCACCTTCCCATTGATGCGCCGACTATGGTGTAAAATCGGGAGGCTGTGTAGACAATTTCGATCGCGAAGATGGCAATTGAGAAGTGAGGATGCGTTTCCTGGGGCGGCTGCTTGGAGCGTTGCGCTAGCAGGGCGAGGCTCGCAAGCGTCATAATTGCATGAACGAGCTTCATGTTGGCGTCTAAAAGCCGCATGTAGGTGCGAAAGATCCGGCAGCAGTTTAGGTTTCCGATCAGGCGCTCGAGGATGAACACGACGAGAACGGCGTAAGTGAAAACCTTGACAGTCTTCTGGATGACGTATCGGCAGCTTCGCAGTTCCATGACCTGCTACGGAGAAAATAAAATTATACAGATTTTCAAGAAGCTAATAAAATCTAATGAGGATAGCCCTCCCCTCGTGGGAGGTCGAAACTTTGGACTTAAATTAACGTTATTACTTCAACTTATTTATGGAACTCCCGCGGAGGAGGGGTGTACCTGCTTCCCGTCTTTTGAGGCCGCCTCCCGATGTTTGAAGCGCAATCAACAGACTACATCTCAAAGCTGTATTCTTCTTAGGAGCTACGGTAAAGTGCCATCTAGACGCTGACTATAGTTGCGTGTCAGTCGTGCCCCCAAGAAACGGTGGCGCGTCGAACGGCGGGAGGCAGACTTTGGAGGGGGAGGAGGGGCTAACCATGATGTTTAAACCCGAAGACTGGGAAAGAAACTTGAAGATGTATACTAGAAAAGACAAAATAAAGGTGTCAAGCAAGCGTCTCAAGTATACGCTGTTCTTGGAAGTGGCGTCTATCGGCAGTTCCGTGACTGTAACTGAAGTTGATATAATAATGTTGGCTTCAACAGAGTATATATCGTAATTTGGTAACG